CCCCCCCCCCCCCCCCCCCCCGCCCCACCCCACCCCCCGGGGCCTGGGGTCCCCTGTCCAGCAGCCGCCTTTGGCCAGTGTTCGCTGCCCCTTGGCTGAGACCCATGAGTGGGAGCTCTGCGCATGAGCGGGTGGGGCAACCTCTTGGTGTCATGAGCCCAGGGAAGGATAATGGGAGAGCAGCTGTTTTGTTTCACATGCCAAAGTCCCTCATAAGCAGGATCGGTGATTCTTTCAGATCTACAGCTCAGATTCATCCAGTTCTGCCTGGGGATGCCCGGCTCTCAAGCTTCCTCCGCTCTACGCAGCCTTGGTGAACGGTGTGGCGGTGAGCAACTCGGGGAAGGGGAGACTCGATTCCACCTAGCGCTTGGGAGAAACCTGCCACCCACCCGAATCAGTCTGCTCCAAAGGGGGCTGCGCTGGGATCCGAGGAGCTCAGCCTGGCTTGTTTTTTTAATGGGGCCCACGTAGGCTGTGAATCTGCTCTGCCACCCTTTCCTTTCCGTCTTCACCCCTTCAGACTTATTTCAGGCTGTAAACATGGCTGTGGGGAGTGTCGCTTTGCAGGTGAAGGAAGCGGTGGCTACTCCTCAGCCTTTCAAAGAGGGTATGTTTTTGATGTGTGCAGTTATGGAAGAGCAGGATCTGGGCCACTTAGCAAACCTTCCATAGAATGAGTGTAAGACGTGTGTGTGTCTGTGTGGACGCACATGGACATGCTGCTGCAACAAAGCCCTGTGTGCACAGACAAAGCACGCCCTACCTGTCTGAGTCGGTGTTATTTTATCATCTTCCATCCCAGCTCAAGGTGACCTGTGTGGGGGTCGTCCCTAATTTTGCCCCCCCGACAAGGAGCCTGCAATGCGGGCTGGGCTGAAGACGGCCTGAGGCTCCAACCCTGGGTATGCATTGGAGACCACTGTGCAGGCCTCACGTTGGCAGTGTTAGGATCCCACAGTCAGGACTTGGGTTATAGGGCAGTGAGGTGGTCCTTGACTTGTAGCTCGCACCACTGCACCCAGCATTTTCCTTTCAGGATATCTCTTAGAAAGAGAGAAAAAATAGGCAGGAAAACTGCACCAGGCAGCTGGATTTAATTAGGCATCTGTTCCCTAGAAATTCCTGACGCCTGTCTGTGCTTCGCTTCACCACCGCCGTGGGTGGCCCCGGAGAGAATGCCTTGCCCTGGCAGGTCTCGGCCCTGAAGCTTTAGCTATCTCTATTTCAGCAGTAGGTGAAAACGCAGGCGAGAAGGCGGAGGCCTCTGCTCCAGCCACAACTCCCCTGACTCCGGAGCTCTTCTCCCTCTGCCCCCGACAGATCCACTCCATGGACTTTGATGACACGTGGCACCCAACCACCCATCCTTCGGGGGCAGTGCTGCCAGCCCTCCTGGCTGTCGCCGAAGCTGTGACTGAAAAGCAAACGATTTCTGGCTGCGACCTGCTTTTGGCTTTCAACGTTGGGATTGAGGTGCAAGGCAGGCTGATGAGCTTTTCCAAGGAGGCCAGCGATCTTCCTAAAAGGTCTATTTAAAAAAAAAAATCTTGTTCTGAAATAGGAGAGAAGTCATTAAGTTGTCAGGCCAATGGGTTCAGTGGGAAAGCTGGGAAGGGGAGTACTGTGGGCCCTCCCTTGTGGGGGGAGACCCTTCCCCACTCACAAAATGCAGCTTCAGTGGTGCAGCCTGACAAAAAGAAAAGTGGGGAGGGGGGAAGGAAAGCCAGGTGGTCAAGAACCTGAACGGGTCGGACTCATGAAATAAAGTCTAATCAGGCTTGTGTGGCTATGTTTGATCCAGTAATGAAATCTCGGTCCAAACAGTGTTTCATTTGGCAAGATTCCTACCCGCTTCCATACCGAGTAACAGAACAGCTCTGACTGAGAAGGAAAAATTCTCTGTGGAGTCCTTGGGGCTCCCTGAGCTTGGTTGTTTGCCTGCAGACGTTTCATTACCCAACTAGGGAACCTCACCAGCGGGAG